TCTTCTTAGTGACTCTCCTGTTTGGCGTGTTGACAAGTCTGGCCCAGTGCCTTGAAACTGTGGTCTACGATCTGACACAAGGTGGGATCCAGCCAACCTCCCCATTTATTGCAACATTTGGTGCGTATTTCCCCAGTCCAAGGAATAATGTCTAGTAGATGACCGAGATTGTATGACATATCTTCCTACGGGCTATGGAAAATTTCTTCCGTTTGAATTTATTATCCCATTGAAACGAGAGACAGACTATAATTTTGACCGAATCAGTCGTTGAGCCCGCATCTGTCGTTCGGAATACCCCGCGTTAACCTTTGAGAGGTTGCATGATTAGAAAACCCATTCCGACTGTCACTTTCCCGATCTGGTAAGCGACGCTTTGATTTGTCGGTTGAAAGGCCCTTCACGCGTGACCTGTAATGGGATGTCTCCCGATCTTTGTTCAGCTGTAGCACTAATATCTGATTTTAATCAGTTGAGTAACTGAGCTTGCGGCACTGTTTCCCGTGTTCATGGTTGAGATACTAGTAAAGTAATAATAATAGCCTCAGCAGTAGGTGTGTTTGTTGTTTAACGCCACACTCAGCAACATCTCAACGGTATGACTACGGCCTGTAAAGAGTTGAGTCTGGACCAGACAATCCAGTGATTAAATTTTGAGTAAGTGAGTGAGTTGGGTGTAACGCCGCTTTTAACAGTATTCCAGTTATATCACGGCGTGTCAGCTTAATGTGGGAGGAAAGCCCGAAGTAAAGTCTCAGACGTTTACCATTTCGATGAAACCCACGAGCACGGGTATGGTGTTGACAAACCTAGAAACATAATCGTGGCGAACCGGGATTCAAACCCGCAATTTTAGGATTCTGGCGTGTCCAAGGGAGGCAACTCTGCAAAGTTAATCGCGGCGCCTTAGACGACTGGGCCACCCGCGCCCTCGATTAAATTACGAGCAACTTTCCACGCCACCAGGGTACGGTGGCACACGTCACCGAGTCACCGAACCTAACCACCGACCCCTTTGGTCTTTTACGTCCAGCTTGGGTCCTATTCTAACCCAGGACCCCCACTGGGGTTTAGCACTACATGTATGTGTAAATGTGAGTGAGTATGGTTTTACGCCACTTTTAGCAATTTTCCAGCAATATCACGACGGGTAACTGCTAAATGTGGCCATGTTTATGTTTTAGCCATAATAGTGATGTAAAATTGCGAATATTAAACAATTAAAGTTTCTGTTTGGATGTATCTGTGAGCTACAACAGATCAGTTCATTACAAACTGCCAGGTTAAATGGTTAAAACTTTCCGTGCCCTAGATGTTTAAGGGTGAATAACAGATCACATCTGTAACACAACTGTGTGGCTGCAGGCTGTGTGTGCAGATGGGCTGGTTATAACCACCAAATGAATTGGACATTTGCTGACCCGGGATTAAGGTCAACACTCCAGTAGGAGCGATAACATCAGAAGAGACTGGTATCTGCCCCAGCAATTAGCGACAACCAGTAATGATAATACTGATAAGAAGTTCCTACATTCGATTTTCATTCGTTACCTGAAGGCAGATTAAGGGTTACAACTGGTCAACTACGGGACCCTCTATTATTCAGACCGACTCCGTGGTCTAGTGGTAGAGCGTCCTGCCGGAGAGCGGAAGGTCCGGGGTTCGATCCCCGACCGCGTCATACCAAAAGACGTTAAAAGATGGTACTTGTTGTTACCCTGTCTGGCGCTCGGTATTAAGGGGCTGAAACAAGGACTGGTCGGCTTGGAGTCATTATACTGTGTCTGAGTGGGGTATTCATGTTAAACTGCGGCATGGTATCTCAGTGAGCTAGCACTATAAATCGGCATCAGTCCGGACTAGTACAAGCAGCCACATACATACATACACATACACGTCGCTATTTAAGTGCAATAATCTTGTACGCAACGTTAAACCCCATTTCACCTCACCTCACCTCTATTACTCAGCCACATCAGCGCAGCCAGAGACAGAGAACCAGAGAACCTGAGACAGCCAGGGCAGTGAAGACCGTCAGATTAGCAGAGCATTCAGGAGGCGTAGCCTGAAAAGACAGGAAACTAACAGCGCGACTAATGCCAAGAAGACCAACACTCCGGGAAAGGTAGGAATGAGTGAGTTTGTTGTTTAACGCCGCACTCCGCAATATTCCAGCTATATGAGGGCGGCCTGTAAATAATCGATTCTGGACCAGACAATCCAGAGATTGACATCATGAGCATCGATCCACGCAATTGGGATCGATGACATGCATCAACCAAGTCAGCGAGCCTGACCACCCGATCCCGTTAGTCGCCTTTTACGGCAAGCATGGGTTGCTGAAGACCTATTCTACCCCGGAATCTTCACGTGTCCGAGTGAGTGTGTGAGTGAGTGAGAGTGAGTTGTGTTTAGCGCCGCTTTGAACAGTATCCTAGTTATATCACGACGTGTCAGCTTCCTGTAGGAGGAAAGCCCGAAATGATGCAGGTCTCAGACGTTTACCACTTGGTGAAACAGACGAACATTGGCATGGTGCTGACAAACCTAGAAACATAATCTGGGTGAACCGGGATTCGAACCCACAATCATAAGTTTCTGGCATGCCCAAGGGATGCGACTCTGCACAGCGAATCGCAGCCTTAGGCGACTGGGCCACCTGTGCCCCCTGTTTGACATGATGTATGTTTTGAGCAAGGTAGGGCAGTGAAATAAACTTCACAATTACAGTAGTCATTGTGTTAAGCACCTAAGTACTGAATGCTGATGGTATTAATCACATTTATGTATAAAAACCAAACATCTAAACGAGACCAAAGTTTATCACTTTGGTTAGCTTGTATAGAAATTAATGATGTTCTCCTTAGATACTATTTTCCCAACATCTGCTTAACAACAAAAGTGAGAGTGAGTTGTGTTTAGCGCCGCTTTGAACAGTATCCTAGTTATATCACGACGTGTCAGCTTCCTGTAGGAGGAAAGCCCGAAATGATGCAGGTCTCGGACGTTTACCACTTGGTGAAACGGACGAACATTGGCATGGTGCTGACGAAGCTAGAAACATAATCGGTGCGGACCGGGACTCGAAACCACGATCATAGGTAACAGCGAGACTAACACCAGGAACGCTAGTCCTGCACCATGACCGTGGAATATATTTATTTTATGAAAAAAACATAATCTAGAAATGCATACAAAAGCAAGTCTAGCCAGCTCAAGCTAGCTCTATTCCACATCTGAAATCAGCATAGGGAATTTTATTTTTATTTTTAGAGTCAAGAACGATATTGTGTAATATAAGATTTCAGAGACTAAATGTTAGTCTACAGGAACGCCAGCACCCTGGGAAAGCTGTGGCCATGCTTGTATAACGCCCAGTCTCTGCCCACGTCGATAATCCTGTACATGTACATGATGAAGTAAAGGCTGCTAGAAGAGATACACACGGTTGTGCGCTGCTGCTGTAACAGGTGTGAGGTAACAGGTGTTATCATGACCATCCTCTGTATCTCCAGGGCTTGCATTCTAGTAAACCTACTCTAAGCCCTGAATTAGACTAACATATAGTCTCTGAAATGAACATATCGTACAGAAAAAACAGTTGCTCAGTTATCTTAATAAAAATATAATAAAAAGGGAGCCCAGTGATTCTCTTCATTTTCAGATACGGATACTGCAGTAATCTAGACTTGCCAAACATTATAGACTTGCATGGGCTGTAGTTGATATATTTGTATCAGGGTCTGTAAGACAGACTAGCCTTGAATCAATTCCAGCGATTCTCGAAATCTCAAATTACCCGCCCTTGATTATCTTAAGCCAATTCAATTGGCTACGTTACTGGGTCTAACCACGGATAAATAGCACTGATTTATTCGGTTCCCATCATTAGTGTCGGATAAAGCCGATTGTTGGATTAACGAGACTTGACTGTACGTCACAATCAGAATGCGAGTTACAAACTAGCCTCAGTATTAGGTTGGCGATATCAACAACAAAGCAGCCAGTCCCGTTAATTACGACAGTGTTTGCGAGAAATTCAACGTCGAAAAACTGACACGCAAAAGAAAGCCTTAAAAAATCATTTCGATGGAAAGGATGTCTTGGTTTCTAGGCAATACGAGTTACCCCCCTTACCCATTTCCTTCTTCCTTTTCTCTACGTTTGATTGGTCGGTAAAATGTTGATGAAATTCAAGGGCAGGTAATTTAAGAACGCAAATGTGAATGGATCCGTGGTTAGTGTAGGTTTACCGAAATGAAATCCCTGGAGATATAGAGGATGGTTCATGATGCCCCCGACACAAACTTCATTAGAATAATAAATAAATCTAATAAATTTTGATACCCTATTTGGTTTATGTGTCCCGTAATGCGATATATTCATCCAGTAGTTTAAATATGTTACCGAACAGTGTACACAATCCAATTCAAATCAGGCCTTCTACTTATATTCAACTTTGACGGAGAGTATCGAAGCGGAGTAAAATATTTGATAGCCCTTGCTCAGGTGCTGCACATGTAGTTGTGTGTGCACAGCTCGAGAACCTGTTCACCTTCATTCGACTTGCTAATTCGGCACTGCCTCTGACAGCATGGTCCGGATTCTTGGTCAATACCACCCTATCACTGAAACCCCTAAGCAGTAGCAGCTGTTACTGACTGGTGATCTCCTTGAAGACGGTCTGGAAGCAGTCGTGGAGAGAGTGAGTGAGTGAGTACGGTTTTACGCCGCTTTTCGCAATATTCCAGCAATATCACACATTGTATCCATTTCAGGAATCGAACCCGGGTCTTCGGCATGACGAGCGAACGCTTTAACCTCTAGGCTACCCGACCGCCCCCGCTCGCTGTGGAACGCTGTTAGAAGTCATTGTTTGTAACGGAAAACAGTGATAGTATAGTATAATTATATACTGTCTTAGAAATACGTGGTGATATGAAGTAAATACGTATGTGTACAACAATTGTACTATTGTGATTGTACAGATTGTGTGTCGGTTGGCGTTGAAACTGACAGACAATTTATTTCAGTAACAGGCTACCGGCCAATAATACATTAATATAGCATGATAAATCAGGCTACCGGCCAATAATACATTAATATAGCATGATACATCAGGCTACCGGCCAATAATACATTAATATAGCATGATAAATCAGGCTACCGGCCAATAATACATTAATATAGCATGATAAATCAGGCTACCGGCCAATAATACATTAATATAGCATGATAAATCAGGCTACCGGCCAATAATACATTAATATAGCATGATACATCACGTATGCTAGAGTAAAGTTCATACAGATATAGTGAGTGAGTATGGTTTTACGCCGCTTTTAGCAATATTCCAGCAATATCACGGCGGGGGACACCAGAAATGGGCTTCACACATTGTACCCATGTCGGGAATCGAACCCGGGTCTTCGGCGTGACGAGCGAACGCTTTAACCACTAGGCTACCCGACCGCCCCCATACATATATATATATTATAACAATTTCATTCATGTCAAAAAGGTTTTAGGTATTTCATAATTTGTATCTTTTTTGCTAAGAATAAACCCATAATATGAAGGACAAGATTATCACCTGTTTGCATTAGCTATGTGAATTTTATTAGAGATGGATATTTTTGGACAAACAAAAATCGGAAAATACTGGGGAGTGTAACTGTGTCTTTCAAGTTCCACATTTAAACGGAAATTATTAATCTAAACTTTGAGATATACTTCTTAATGCCACGTGGAATGTCATTTGTTAAAGAATGTTCTGTGTTCAACATAGATTTGTACAGAACACAGTAACTGCACTTCGAAGATAATTCCATTGAAGAATGCCATGTTTGGTAAAGGGTATCTGATAGTATAATAATCTTATATAGCCGATGTCTTGCTGTAACCAGACTAGCTCAAAACCAAAGCCTTGAAACAATAAACATTGATCGATTGATGTAAACAAATTAGATTGGAAGTCGTACAGTTGCACTTCTAAGAGACAACTCCACCCCTCAGTCTCATCCTCGATTATCCACGGTAACACATCTCTATTCTATAATATGTACCCTGGGGCCATCCTTTGTTTCGGAAGTGACGTCACCATCGTATTCTCTATCTTAGCACTACCTTCTCCGGCTCGCTGGTGTCCTATGACTGGACAGCTATTTTAGAGCGGGATAGTAGTAGACTCGGGCTCACAACGGAGCTTTGTTGACGAATATTTCAAGGGTATTTATCAAAACAGAAAGAAGATATGCCACACTGGATAATCGTGCCGACTCTTGTCCTCTCAGACGTCAAGCATCCATTCGTCACCACTCGCCCCTTTCCGTAACCTGCAAGAGCGGCTTGTCCCGGAATAACACGAGTTGGTCACGAATGGTCTAGCATCCAGAAGCAAAACGGGAGATTATATGACGATTCATTTGGTTTGGTACCGATAACGCACAAATCTAGCTGTTCGTGCAATTCTGGGACATACTGTCTTCTTGCAGGTTACGGACAGATGTGAGTTAAGACGATTGCAAATCTAGAATAAGGGTTTCCTCCAATGATAAAATATCCCTCGAGGGTGATAAATGTTACATGTCAAACAGACTAGGCCAAGCCAAGTTCAACACAAGCCGCGTTTATCCCCTTTCACTATCTTTAGAGGCGCCAAATAGACGATGAATTTATTATTGATGTTACAGAATGAATTATTGATTTCACAAATTTCGAAATTTCAGCACAATCCCTCAGCAGAGCCGTGAACAGTTTCACCCCACGGCACACTGACCCGCTATGCAAGTTCGTGATATCTAAAAATACACCAGTTTTATTGCTTCAAAACACGCAAATTTATTGTGAAAGGGGGAACCGAACAATTCAATTATTTTTGTACACAATCATAAAACGAACAGTTTTATTTCTTCTGTAAAACCTGAGAACAATTATTACCCCCATCACCACCACCACCCCATTTTTCTAGAACATGCTTGTCGTAAGAGGCATCATGTCCCGTGCGTAGATCGATAGTCAGGATATCAATCACCGGACTGTCTGGTCCAGAATCGATTATTTACAGACCGCCGTCATATAGCTTAGATGTTGCCGAGTGCGGCTTTAAACAAAAAACAAACAAACCTAGGCCGAAAGAAGGCTCTGGAGCGTAAACAGTCCCTCTTGATATGTCATTCGAAAATTCATGCTTCATCAATTTGTTGACCAAAGACAGAAACGGGTCAGAAGCCCTTTTGATAAACAAGCCGTATTTCGGCGTCCTGTTCTTTCTAACATGCCCTAATGCGTTAAGGATATCGCATGAACGATGAGCTGTCTTCATCATTATCCTTATAAACAAAATAGATTATTGTCAATTCATGAGCTAACACTGACCCAAGCTCATCTCGAAAAGCTACACTCGATTTACTATTTAATTTTATTTTGGGATATACGAGAATCAACAGTAAATGATGACCGTTGCGTTTACACTACACGTGTTTCTCTTTGAGATCTCTAAGGCTTTAGCATTCCTGTCGATGAGTACGGTTTGCCGATGTTCTGGCCTACGGTTGGGCCAAACTGTTTCGAAGATTCACCTTCCAGATATTCTTCTGTCAGCTTGAAATTTGAAAAGTTGGAACTGTCCACAAAATTGAGTACCGGTTCTTCGAAAATGTTATGTAAACGTTTGGCCCAGTCAGTCAGCCACTGCTTCCGGTCATCGTCACTGACATGCGCAGGAGAATAGTGTATCTGAGGGGCGAGGACATCAAATCCCACAAACTTTAGCACACCGTTCTGTGGCAAAAGAAATAATAATGTAAAGTATGTTAACTTGTCATGTATAAGATTATTAGGAGCACGGGTGGCCGGTCGTAGTCGCCGTTACTTGATGTACAGAGTTGCACCCTTAGTGGAGCCACGATCCGTTGAACAAGGGTCTGAATCCTAAGTTAGCCCGGGTTATAATATATCTGCTACCAGCGCCATGCCCCTGTTCGTGGTGGTACTACTACTACTACTGCTACTACTGCTACTACTACAGGGGGCACGGGTGGCCCAGTCGCCTAAGGCGCTGCAATTCTCTGTGTTGAGTCCTTTGGAAGCCTATAATTGTGAGTTCGAATCCCGGTTCGGTCCGATTGTTTTCAGGTTTGTCAGCCCCATACCCGTGCTCTAAGACCTGCATCACTTCGGGCTTTACTACTACTACCACTACTACTACTACACATCTGACCCGTGAAGGTCCGGGCAAGACTTGTCGTAAGAGGGATCGGGTGGTCAGGCTTGATGACTTGGTTGATGCATGTATTCGTATGTTGTCAATCACTGGATTTCCAGACTCGATTATTTACAGACCGCCGTCATATAGCTGGAATATTGCGGCGTGAATCAACATGAAACAAACTACTCACCTGTAGGGGCCACAGTAGGACGTTCATGTCGCCGTTCAAACCATCTGGATTGTAGGCGGCACCGGGGCCTCCAGTAGTAAAGGACAACATGCCCCTTTTATCCTGCAATGATTAACAGTAGTTAATAGACGAACGGTTTTTGCATTCCTGTGCGCTCTCATGAATAACTCTTTGGGTATGTATTTTACTTGTTTCACTCTTTTATGAATATATACAATTTACTATTTCACGAAACGCGTTCGGGTACCAGAACGTACATTTTTTCAATTAGTTTCTAAAACAAGGCGGTAACTCACATGATTCTGTGTCATACACTGAACCGCAAAAGAAACGTCACTTCATGAAAATACTTCGTGAAAGTTTCACAATGAAATATTAATGCATTTTGTTAAGGTATCTCGTTTCTCGTGTTTTACATTAGTCTCTATCCAAATTTATTGTTAACGGCCCAAACTGCCACAAATGTGGATATAATGGGTCGCCAAAACGTAGCTTAACAAACGACCTTGGTTCAACAAATGCTTTCCATGAAAATCCAAATCCTTTTCTGATAAACGGTATGTGCCAAGACTTACGAAGAATCAGAGAAATCAGGCTTTATGGAGACAGCATGCTGTTGGTGACCTGGTATCGTTGCTGTTATCTGTAGGTGGTTTTCTCACGTGGACATCAAAAGCAGGGAGGGGGCACGGGTGGCCCAGTCGTATAAGGCGCCGCGATTCGCTGTGCTGAGTTGCGTCCCTTGGGCACGCCAGAAACCTGTGGGTTCGAATCCCGGTTCGCCCCGATTATGTTTCTAGGTTTGTCAGCACCGTACACTCATACACGTGTTCGTGGGTTTCACCGAAGTGGTAAACGTCTGAGACCTGCATCACTTCAGGCTTTCCTCCCACATTAAGCTGACACGCCGTGATATAACTGGAATAATGTTAAAAGCGGCGTTAAATCCAACTCACTCACTCACTCAAAAGCATTGGCAACCATTCGTGCAGTCTGGCCAGCATGCAGTCGTCCTAAAGCCTGGTTTCTCTGATTCTTCGTAAGTCTTGGCCTGACGCTAGTATCGATACAAGTCTTGTCATGGCGTTAGTATCGATACAAGTCTTGGCATGGCGCTAGTATCGATACAAGTCTTGGCCTGGCGCTAGTATCGATACAAGTCTTGACATGACGCTAGTATCGATACAAGTCTTGTCATGGCGTTAGTATCGATACAAGTCTTGGCATGGCGCTAGTATCGATACAAGTCTTGGCATGGGGCTAGTATCGATACATGAAACTGTCATGAAGCATTTCATGAAGTAACGGTTTTTCTTGCGGTTCAGTATTTGTCATTCGCAGTTCAGAATGTTCATGAAATATACTTCCCATTCATTCCAACATGTTGTTCCCCTGCCTGGTGCTCGGCATGAAGGGGTTAAAACAAGGACTGGTCGGCTGGGAGACAATCTACTGAGCATGTTAATGGCGGTTAATCCATGTTAAACTGAGGCATGGTATCCCAGAGAGCTAGCACCATGAAACCGGCATATGTCCGGAACAGTACAAGCACACACACACACACACACACACACACACACACACACACGTGTATGCACGTCGCTATATAAGTTTTGTTTGTTTGTTGTTTAACGCCACACTCAGCAATATTCCAGCTATATGACAGTGGTCTGTAAATAATCGAGTCTGGACCAGACAAGTGATTGATATGATGAACATCGATCCCCGCAATTGGGATCGATGACATGCATCAACCAAGTCAGCGAGCCTGACCACCCGATCCCGTTAGTCGCCTCTCACGACAAGCATAGTCGCCTTTTACGGCAAGTATGGGTGGCTGAAGACCTATTCCACCACGGATCTTCACGGGTCCGCTATATAAGTACAATGATCTTGAACCCTACCTCACCTCATTATTTGTTAGAGCCAGCCCTTCATTATATGAAATATAACACATTTGTTCGTTTGCCAGAGCCTCACCTTCATGAGCCCAGTGCTATACATATTCCCCATTCCGTAGGCGAAGCCCATGGTGTAGACTCGGTCGAACCAGCCTTTCAAGATGGCGGGGACAGAAAACCAGTACAAGGGAAATTGAAAGATGACAAGATCAGTTCGTTTGCCAGAGCCTCACCTTCATGAGCCCAGTGCTATACATATTCCCCATTCCGTAGGCGAAGCCCATGGTGTAGACTCGGTCGAACCAGCCTTTCAAGATGGCGGGGACAGAAAACCAGTACAAGGGAAATTGAAAGATGACAAGATCAGCTCGCTTCAGTTTCTCAATTTCTACTTTTATATCTTCTGAAAGGGTGCCATTTTCCCATGCTGATTTCGTTTCCATTTGATATTTGAAGAAACCTTCATTCTGAACACTCCCTGCAATGTGAATAGGAAATAAACATCGTTTGGTGTTTTTGTCGTGTGTCTATTTGTGATGAATACTGTTACCGCCACGTGGTCATTGTTAACGTGGTTATAGGGATTCTTCACGCAATCGGAGCCCGCTTTCATTTGTTTGTTTGTTGTTTAACGTCGTACTCAGCAATATTCCAGCTATATGACGGCGGTCTGTAAATAATCGAGTCTGGACCAGACAATCCAGTGATTGATATCATGAGCATCGATCCACGCAATTGGGATACAATGACATGCTTCAACCAATTCAGCGAGACTGACCACCCGATCCAGTTAGTCGCCTTTTAAGACAAGCATAATTGCCTTTCACGGCAAGCATAGGTTGTTGTAGACCTATTCTTCACGAATGGAGCTCGCTTTTAGATTGTCTGATCTTATCCTAAGACATAAAATTAGTTCTCATTTGTCATGGGATTAGTATCTTACTTTTCATCAATCACATTAAACACAGGACGTTATTATCAGAACTTCATAAACTAATGGACAAGTTCAATAGATTCTCAATGTTTCATCAGTCCCTAAGGCCTGCCAGAGGCATTTGATCGTGGGTTGATACCCGTGGTCGTGGATTTTACCAAAGTGCTAAACGTCTAAGACCTGCATCCATTCGGGCTTATGCAACTGAAACTTTATTCTAAGCGGCGTTAAATCCCACTAACTACTCACTGACATTAATGGATAATGATTGTGTTTTCACAAAAAACGGCTTAACGTGGCCCCAAGGCAATGCAAATGTCTGCGCCATTCACGGGAACTACTGTTAGTACAAGTCAACCCTATAAAATATAGACTGCGCCATGTTAGTGCAAGTCACCCCCTAATAATATAGACTGCGCCATGTTAGTGCAAGTCAACCCTATATAATATAGACTACGCCATGTTAGTGCAAAGCACCCCCTATATAATATAGACTGGCATGTTAGTGCAGGTCACCCCTATATAATATAGACTACGCCATGTTAGTGCAAAGCACCCCCTATATGATATAGACTGGCATGTTAGTGCAAGTCACCCCTATAAAATATAGACTGCGCCATGTTAGTGCAAGTCACCCCCTAATAATATAGACTGCGCCATGTTAGTGCAAGTCAACCCTATATAATATAGACTGCGCCATGTTCAGGTGGAGTTTGGACAGGTCGTATTCGAACGCTGGCGAAAGTGGGCCATGATCCAGTTGACAGCCAGACAGTCGGCATTACGTGCTGTAGAACATACACGATCATTACACGCGTGAAGATCATGAATGCACCAATGTCGGTCACCCAACGGATAGCCAAGCTACAGGGGCATGTACCCCTCTTGATTTCGGGCTAGAATAGAGAAACAAGTCGCTTTGCTATGACTGTCGCACGAGACGACAAATTAGATCAGGTGATCAGGCTTGGTAACTCGTGTTATCACAACATAAAGTATTAGGTAGCATCCATTGGGTGAGGTGAGGTGAAATGGGGTTTAACGTAGCGTCCAAGATTATTGCACTTATATAGCGCCGTGCATGCACGTGTGTGTGTGTGTGTGTGTGTGTGTGGCTGCTTGTACTAGTCCGGACTGATGCCGATTTATAGTGCTAGCTCACTGAGATACCATGCCGCAGTTTAACATGAATACCCCACTCAGACACAGTATACTGACTCCGAGCCGACCTTGTTTTAGCCCCTTAATGCCGAGCGCCAGACAGGGTAACAACAAGTACCATCTTTTAATGTCTTTTGGTATGACGCGGTCGGGGATCGAACCCCGGACCTTCCGCTCCCTGGGCGGACGCTCTACCCCTAAACCACGGAGGCGGTCGCATCCATTGGAGGATGTCATATTGTACGGCGTTAAACAACAAACATACAAACACGTTCTTGGGTAGGTCATATGGGCTGTGTTTCGTACGAGCGGGTTGTTTGGCTCCTTTGATCACGGTCTTATCGAAGTGAGACTCTGAATTGTCTGTTTGATGTAGCGGTGGACGGTGAGGTGGCCACGTGGTTCACGCGCTCGCTCATCACGCCAAGTTGCCGTCTTCGATTGCGATGTAGGCAAAATATTTTGTAAAAAAAACCCAAATAATTTCGTCGAGGAAATTTCCCCTTATTAAAATTATGTACTGATGTCGACTATATGTGGACTGCATTGTACTCATTAGCAACCTGAAATGAAGACCCACAATCCGATCTGTCCTTAACCTTCATTGACCTTGAACTATGAGTTCTACCTGAAGCTTGATGTGTGACGCTGTATTCAATACTATTCAAGCAAAAGCAGAGGCGATTGTACGATTCAGTCATGTGTTTGTGAATCACTATCAAATAGTGATGATACCAGGTGTTTGCGAAAAGGTGAGCGTATCCTGCTCCACCGGTGGCATCAGTCACAAATACATGCAAATACCTAATAGTATTCACCTGAAAACACATGGGATCAAATGGTAACAAAATAGGGAATTGCATCGGACATCATTCTTGTTACCGATGCGTCAAAACTGGAAATGTCGTCCACATGTTTGCCATAAAACTTTTTTAAAGCGGAACTGAGGCCTTGAATGCTGTAACCTTAATCAAACAACTTCTGAGCAAGAATCGTATGCCGCTCTTTGAAATCTTGATATAAAGAGCATGCCCGATTGTACCTCAAAAGTTGTGAAATGTAGACACCAAAGACTGGAGCTGCAGGAATATTGTCCGACATATAGGGAAAGTTGACTTTTGGAAAGTTGAAGTGATCTCTGTTGTCATATAGTCTTGTGTTTTTCACTCTGATTCTTTATGCATAGACCTAAATATGAATCAGATGAGGCGGTCTCACTGGTCTCCTTTATTAGTAGTTCAGGTGGGTAAATGAGAGTGAGTGAGTGAGTTTGGTTTCACGCCGCTTTTAACAGTATTCCAGTTATATCACGGCGTGTCAGCTTAATGTGGGAGGAAAGCCCGAAGTGATGCAGGTCTCAGACGTTTACCACTTCGGTGAAACCCACGAGCACGGGTATGGTGCTGACAAACCTAGAAACATAATTGGGGCGAACCGGGATTCGAACCCACAATCATAGGTTTCTGGCGTGCCCAAGGGACGCAACTCTGCACAGCGAATCGCGGCGCCTTAGACGACTGGGCCACCCGTGTCCCCGGGGTAAATCAGAGGAAGGGAATGGGCTATTTAATGGTTATTGAACGATATAAAATCGTCGATATACCTGAAGCTTAATTTCAACTTCTTGGCCACATGACCTTGTTTTGACTTTGCCAATCCGAGCAGAAATCACGGTTCATATGCATAAAGAAGCAGATCCGCAAGAAGGGGAGCACAATTGGTGCCCATGGGGATGCCTACTTCTTGCCTCAATGTCTTTCCCCCAAATTGTACAAAGATGTTATCAATGGGGAAGTCCAGCATTTCACAAATTGTTTTCTCAGTAAACTTCAGATGGCATTTGCTTTCATTTTGACAAATTGATCTGATCCTCCGAAGCTAGATATGTAACAATATCTATGGTCACCAGGTTGTGTAACAAAAGGAATATTTTCCTGGGATAGTGGTGTACGAGGTTCTTTTCTGCCATTGTAAAAAGTCAAGCTAATCTTTTGAGTTTTTGAGAATCAAAGCATCCAAGAGGCCATATTGTTTGTTGTTTGATGTTCAACGACGCACTCATCAATATTCTAGCTATATAACGACGACCTGTACGTAAACGAATCTGGATCAGACACTTGTGATTGACATCGTGATCATCGATCCACGTGATTTAACTATGACACGCAGTAAACCATGTCACCGAACCTGACCAGCCGATCCAGTTCGTCGCCCCTTAAAAACCTTGGTTGCTGTGGACCCGGAATCCCGACGAGGAATCGCTGTTTCAAGCACACAGACGACAACAAATAGGAAATGTGAATATTCTAAAGCATTGTTCCCCCGTATCAGTAATGTTCTTAAGTATATGAATCAACATATATAAAAATACGCTTGCTTGGGACCATATTCTTATCCGAGATTCCCACAGGTTTGAAACACATAATCACCACACGTTACTCACCAACCACATCTGTCCTCTGACATCTTGGCTCAAAGTGCATGGAGTAGAGGTCTGACACTTCCACGCTGTGACCGTCTGCCCCCAAAGTCTCCACTGCCTTCCGCAAGAGGGCGCCATTAAAGGACTTGGGTTCCTGGTGGGCATACACGATCAGCACGTTCTTCTGTTGCTTGTTCAAGACACAGCCCGACTCGAACGACTGAATCAGGTTCTTGGCCATCATGCGACGATATTAGTGTTCTAGGATGAAGAGAAAATATTCGGTTATGAATTTGACTGCATTGATTTCAACGCCGCTTTGAACAGTATTTCATTTACACCACGGCGTGTCTGCTTGAGGAAAAGGCAAAAAGATGGAGGTAGAAGATGTTTATCACTTTGATGACATCCACGTGCATATGTGTATGGTGCTGAGCACACAAGAATCATAACAAGAATGTGTGTGGAATTCGAACCCACAGTTATCGGATTACTGACGACAAAGCCACCCGTGACTGGTATTCATTCACTTCATTCGACTTAACTTTGTATTTGTGTACCATTTGTACATTCGTATGTCAATATATAGTATCAAGTTCCTTGTATGTCATGCCAGTGCCTGTTAATATGATTTGCAAATCTAATTTCCATATATATATTGAAATATATATATATATATATATATATATATATATATATATATATATATATTCAATATATTCTTGAAACCATATGAAACATCTGTGGGCGATCAAATTATACCGTTTGTGTCCACCGTCAATCCTAATAACTGTGATATCATGCCAACCATACGGGACAACCTCCCAATACTACAGCAAAGTGATAAAATAAAACAAGGATTGAATTTTTTTTTTTTAAAAGTACCAGGTTACTACTACTAACACCACACCACAACCACCACCACCACTACTACTACTACTACTACTATTACTACTACTACTACTACCACCACACCACCGCCACTACTACTATTACTACCACTACTACCACTACTAACACCACGCCACCGCCACTACTACTACTACCACATCCACCACCACCACTACTACTACTAACACCACACCACCACAACTACTACTACTAACACCAATACCACAACTATCACCACTACTGCTATTACTAACACCACACCACCACCACTACTAATACTACTACTACCACCAATACCACAACCACCACTACTACTACTACTACTACTACTACTACTTCTACTACTACTACTACTACTACAACTTCTACTACTACCACCAATACCACAACCTCCACGCCACCACCACAACTACTACTAACAACACCACACCACCACCACTACTACTACTACCACCAATACCACCACTACTGCTATTACTAACACCACACCACCACCACTACTAATACTACTACTACCACCAATACCACAACCACCACTACTACCACTACCACCAATACCACAACCACTACTACTACTACTACTACTACTACTACTAACACCACCACCACCACACCACATCCCACATTCGCCGAGATAATGATCCTCGTCTTGTCAGCAGCACACCCGTGCCTAGTGTTTCACCAGGTCTTCATCCCACATTAAATCAACAAGTCTACGTTTGAATTGAAATATACGATTGTAACAATACCGACGCGAAGTTCAATATTAGTTCTACCATGAATTTGGTAAATTCTCGATTCTGATTGGTCAACCAGAGGAACCACCTCTGATTGAAACAGCTGGTTTGGCGGTATTCGGTATATTTAAATCTACACTAGCCCAGTTCTATATATTGAAAACGCAGCATGTTTATCTCCTTATTCACTTTCCCCACCATTCGTGATCAACTCGTGTTATTCCGGGACAAACGGAAAGGGGCGAGTGGTGACGAATGTTTCTCCACTACAGTTACATGCACTGCTACTACCACTACAACTAGAACCTGACTTGAACTTACAAATAGTCAAACTTCCCCTTTAAGTCCAGGCGTATTCTAGCTGCTCCAGCATTTAGTGTCGGAATAGTATAATGGACCGCATTTTTAGCAGAGATTTCTTATGATTAATGAAATGCTTCATGTCGCTTTTATTTATTTATTATTTTATATATAATAAGTTGTACACCTACTGCACTACTTCTACCGCTACAGGGGCGGTCGGGTAGCCTGGTGGTTAAAGCGTTTGCTCGTCACACCGAAGAGTTGGGTTCGATTCCCGACATGGGTACAATGTGTGAAGCCCATTTGTGGTGTCCCCCGCCGTGATATTGCTGGAATATTGCTAAAAACGGCGTAAAACCATACTCACTCACTCACTCTACCGCTACAACTATAACCACCCCTTATTACATAATAAACACTGCACCCACTGCACTGCCACCACCACCACGACTGTTACCACCATGTAATTAAGAAGTACCAGTAAACGATGAGTGGGGGTTGTTTATCATATCGACGTTATGTAAGCCTCTATAAGGATGTTGGTCAAATGTACAAGCCTTAAAAATAGTTACCTTAATTTAATAATGATGACTCCCTGAATAGAATCCGACCTCGGCAATGTCGGACAAGTCCATTTTATGAATAGGTGGGTTAAGTTTGGTATTTCCCGCATATTCTCACAATCCTTACGTCGATAAAGCTGCACCCTTTCTCCCAATACCGCTTGTCATATCTCTTCCAATTTTGGATGCGATCGTTCGGCTGTGGCGTTTGTCTGCGTACCCCAGCTACATTTATGCGGAACAACTCATTAGACACTTGCCCCTCAAAGATAATGTCGTCCAATATATGACCTCATCAAATTGCGAGCGCATGTTCAAACAATGTTTTATCGTAAAATATACCACGCTTCGTCCTTGCATTTTGTGATTTATCGCGTAGCTATGTTATATTATATACAAAGCAGCACTCCTACTGCACCACGTCTACCACTGCAACTACTACCACCACGTTTGATATGATAAGCACTGCACCTACTGCCCTACTTCTCCCACTACCAACTATTTCTACTACTACGACTACCAGTACCAGTACAACGTTTACAACCAGCTATTACACAACATTCGGTACACCTACCGCTACTACTTCTACCACCAATATACTACCATTACCGATTTACTACTACCTACAACAAAGAGACAGCACACCTACCTCGGACTGTTTCTGGACTTTGACACACGAGGTCTCTCGTCAGCAATATGCTGAGTCACTGGTTGCGCAATATCTGCAATATAAATACGTTTATTATATAATGGGCAGGTTTCTCGGCAGGATAAAGCCAACGGATAAAAACGATATCCGTTGGGGTCATATGCGGATAGAGATGCAAATATCAAAGGTCAAGTAGGACTGCTTTCACTGTTTATAAACAAACATGGCGTCGTCCTCGTCATTCGGCGATCGAGTCAAAATTAACCATCGGGAATCTGGATAAACAACAGGGATAATTGCTATCATTATCAAAAGAACAGTCTAATATACTGAAAATCAGTGTCTAACTGTGACGTAGCTAAGGCATTTTGTAAGTTTTGGCTACTTTGGAGGTATAAATTTCGAAACAATTTTGCGAGGGCGCGAGGCCTAGCCAAGCGGGATCAGTAGCAATATCTGTGCGTGTAGACCTCTGCGACTTGAAACCTTCTCCACAAATTAAAATAGTTGGATTTGGCCGAAATATGTTTGAATTGTTACCTAATTTGGTTTTGTCGCTGTGTGTACATCTGACTACACTTATTAACGTTATGACAGGACAGACCGACTGTCAACAACGTCTGACCGTGCCCGTGACGTCTCATAGACTAGGGTTAGAGTAGCTTCCCTTTGACAAAGGGCAGTTACTCTAGCGGACAGACCGATGGATTGCCGCGAAAGGCAATTAAAAACAACTGTTGTTTTGCATATATGTTGCTTCGCCACTGTATAAGAAACAGATTTCAGTTGGAACTATATTGGCTAATGTCACTGTCCGACTGACACATCACTTACCCTGTGACGTAATAAATATTAATGCGCGCATTCCAGGAAAACTCGCAATGTTTCGGTAATGTTTGTGAGAGAGGGATAGCGATTTTAAAGCACAGAATTAAAGCATGACATTATATGATAAAGAGGTTATCACGCTTGTGTGTTTGGGGATGGTAAATATCCTGTATTAGGAATAAACACTATGTATTTAGCTCGCAAAAGCTCGCTAAATACAATGTATATTCCTAATGCAGGATATTTACCATCCCCAAACACACTCGCGTGATAACCTCTATATCACAGCCGTCCTCACTTAGTGAGTGAGTGAGTGAGTATGGTTAAGATGGTACTTGTTGTTACCCTGTCTGGGGCTGGGCATTAAGGGGCTAAAACAAGGACTGCCGGCTCGGAGTCAGTATACTGTGTCTGAGTGGGTATTCATGTTGAACTGCGGCATGGTATCTCAGTGGGGAGGCACTGTAAAATCGGCATCAGTCCGCACACGCATGCAGGCATGTCGCTATATAAATGCGATAATCTTGGACGCAACGTTACACCCCATTTCACCTCACCTTACCTCATCTGTTTCACCCGGCTCTTGATTCGGATACTGGGAAATACAAACGGGCCCAATCTTCCCGAGGCAAGAAAAAGTCCAGTTTCCACCCTGGCCGAACTAGGCTGGTATTATGGAGTTACATTTTGGCTGGACTAACGAGTCTATGCATAGTCGATTCAAAATCGCGCAACGAAATCGAAATCCGGTTCGTAAACTGTCATACAGATTTCGGTCGATTACAGGATTTGCAAAGCATGTGCACCGCAAACTCGTTGTCAACAGATATTTTCCAAATCTTTTCATGTTTTTAATCAAGGTGCTCATGTGATTTCGCTATGTATGACCCGTTTTATCACAATATAGACCTTGATTGTCGATCAGATCGTCTTGACTGGGAGCCACTGTTTTGTTTGAAGCAAATGCAAGTGATACGAGAGGTGGAATATTCTATTGGAGAGGCTCAGAAGGGACATAACTCGTAATTGCCACTGGTGGTGCTACGATAGAGCCCAGGACTCAAACCAACGAACCATTCGACACCACTTTACTCCTGTGCATTTCGCAGAGAAAGGGGCCAAATCGGGTAATCTGATACCCCAGCCACATCTCTCATACAGCATAACTCTGCCCTGCTTACAGCCAGTGCATGTCACAGCCCATTAGCGTAGGACTAGTGTATTCTGACCAGGGCCCACTTGCACAAAACGATCTTAGCACTAAGACTATTGTAAGCCTATGTTAAAGTATGGGAGTTACGATCATCTTAGCGCTAAGATCGCTTTGTGCAAGTGGGCCCTGGTGTCCACACCAGCTTGCCACAGCTGCTACACATATATTAACATCATAGGTAAATCATAATTTAAAAGGTAGAAACAAAACACCACAAGATTATGTAAATATTCATAATTTATTATTGCAACCACATATAATTCAATCATATAATCGCAACACATTGTCATCCAAATACTGCATTTGTTTCTTAATAAATGTTTTCTGCATGAAATATTGCCTTATCTAGAAAAAAACATAGCTTCCATTCTTCACCTTACGCAGCACGGGTCCTTGATAATTCTTGTACACAAATTTTTCATCTGGATTGAAGCTGGCATCGAACCAAGATGAGAATTAGGTCCTTGTTCATTGTAAGTTCATCAGTGTATCAAAATTGTAAATTATTGGTGGAGGTTATTGTATCAGGCATAGAGCATGACTCTTAAAAAGTTCTGTCATAATCAATACGATTTACTGGAAGTTGTTGCTGGGCATTGCAAGTAAACATTATATTGTATAAATATGGTTTGGCGTATGTATAGAGGTGAATCAAGATTTTGACTGTGTTAAATCTGTTTTTATATTGGTTTTAAGAAAGGTCCATGGCAATTGACAGTCAGGTGTTTATTGCCCTAATCTTACATTTTTCTAAGCTTGAAACATAGAAAATGTAAACTAGCTTTTAAGTATGAAGATTATTTATCTTTTCTTTAATTACATATCTATAGCATTGCACAGAAAAGAATTAGATGTTCTAATAACAAGTTGATGATGGAAACCACCCGATAACTTGCCCCATTCGTGACCAACTCGTGTTATTCCGGGACAAGCAGAATAGCGACTCGTGCCCAGCTCATGGACATTTTTGCGACCGGGTTCCGTCTTAGCGCAAAGGGGCATACCTAAAACATTGTCAACTCGTTGTGTAATGGTTCACTTACATTTCCCCATATATTATATATATTTCAAATGCAGTTTAATCCACATCGGGACGTGCGAAACTATACAGTATGATTGAACACATTTAACTGTGTCTTTGGTATATTTTTAGGTGCAAGACTTATGTAAAATCAAAAATTATTTCTGAAGGATTCTTTGACGAAGAACTTGAAATCATGCGCGCATTCTGATTGGTTTGTCGTATTTTCGCACATAGCATTCATCGATAGGGGGACGAGTCTTCTTGATGGTTACGGAAAGGGGCGAGTGTTGACGAATGCACTTGCCCCTTTCCGTAACTGCTATTCGGCTTGTCCCGGAATAACACGAGCTGGTCACGAATGCCAACGACCGCGACCCAATGCAAGCACCTCACAGCGGTAGCCCGTTCGTGTGGCTCTCTGTTCTACTAGCGTGACTGGACTAAAAAAAGGTATCACGCGCTGGGATGGAATTTAGGCTCAACTCAGCTAAGGAAGGCAACTGTGCATGCCGGATCTCAAAACTCCTGGGTCATCCACAGAATTCTATTCTGTCTCACAGTCCCTGAAAGATATTATTGTCTCGCAGGGACTCCTTTTCAATTTAAAAGTAGTTGCTTGTTTATATCCAAATTATATATTTTCATAGAATAAGCGTTAGTTTAACGGAATGTGAATGAACACAAAATTGTTTTTTGTAATTGCTCAGGAAACGAAATCACCACGGCACCAATTTAATAACAAAAAAATTAATTTGTTATAGCCAAGAGGTGATACAGTACTACCTTAGTCTCTGTCAGAGTGATGTAGAAGGCTTGGATCCGCGGAGAACGGAAGTAGTGTTTAAAGGAAGAAACAAGCACAAAATCGTCCACATCGAAACTCTTCTACTTCATTTCAGTCATCAAAGCGTACCAATAGGTTTCGTCCAATTAATCAAATATTCAACGTCGCATGTACACTCTTCAAAAAAAGAAACGCACAGGTAGTATGTAGTTCATTGAACCTGATTACACAAAAAATCCGGTATATAAATTGGATATATGTTATTGGAAAATGTTGTTGGCCTGATATTCGACAAACGGTGCGTCAAAACACAGCCATTGTCGATTTGCAATGTCTTAAACGGCATTGTTTTCACACTTGTTCAAAAATATCATGAAGGAAAACAGTAAAGCAAAATGCACGTGCAAGTAATGGAATTCGTAAGTCGAGGTAGTGGCTATAAAAAGGCAAGCATAAGCCAATAATTTGTCATTCAATTGTCAACATTTTTCAAGTTCGAAAATGCCGAGACTCAGTGCTGCCGATCAGAACACCGCCATATGACGTATCCAAAAGAGGGTAATTGCAGTTGTCTGTTGCACGCCACTTCAACGTCTACCACAGCACCATTTGCCGCCTGTGTGACCGATACACACAGTTCAATTTCACTGCAGACCGTCCGAGAACGGGCCGACCAAGAGTTACAACCCCTGCACAGGATCGCAACATTCGACTGTTCCACTTACGTCATCGCAATTCCACAGCTACGGAGACTGCAGAACGCATCCCTTGTTTGAGGAGGATATCGGACCAGACTGTCAA